ATTAAAATATTTCTTCTAATTAATTTTCTTTCAATGTGCACGAATCTGTGCATGGGGCCACTAGTAATATAATAACTATGTCTGGTGACAGTTGCATACTGAAAATATCAGTGGGAACATTTTTTAAAGTATATGATTATCTAACCACTATACGGTACACCTGAAACTAATACACAGTAATATTGAATATAAATTGTAATTTAAAAATTAAAAAAATTTGCAATTAAAAAAACAAATGAACAAAAAAGTCTGTGGTTTAGTTAACACTGATGTACTCATGTTGGCTTTTCAGTTTTGAAAATTATACCCAATAGTGTAAAAGGATTATCACAGGAAATGAAACTAGGTGTGCAGTATACAGAAAGTTCTGTGGTAACTTCACATCTTTAATGTAAGTATAAAATTATTCCAAAACAATCGTTTATTTAAAAAAAATGTTTGCAAGTGAGAATAGCAGAAAAAGTAGAAAACAGGACGAGAAACACCTCACACATTGAAAATATCAGATGCCACTATAAAACTTCTTTAATCTGTCCAAGTTTCCATATTAAAAAAGAAAATCCACAGCAAACATTGTCCATAATGGTACAATGAGAAAAGCTTTCCCTTTGGGATTGGGCTTAAGGTACAGATGATTACTATTATTACTTGTATTCACCATAATAATGGAAGTCCTGGCAACACAGGCAAGAAAAAGAAATAATAGGTGTACTAGTAAGGATCAGATTTGTAGAAACAAAACTGTCATTATAAATATATTATGTAAATGAATATGTATATATTTCTCCAAAGTCATTAGAATTAAAAAGAGTTTGGCAAAATTTTAATTTACTTTTATATCTTAATAACAAACAGCTAGAAAGTTTATTTTAAATTATGTAGATTTAATAGCCTAAATATATCAAGTATTTACAAATAAATCTAGCAGAAGGAAAAAATATAAATTTTATCAGAAAATATTTTTAATTAATAGTATACATATGCCATATTAATGAGGTAGAATACACAATATTATAAAGATGTCAATTCTCTTTTAATCAATCCATAGAATCATTACGATCCGAAAAAAAAAAATCCAAACAAGATTTTGACATGCTGATTTGGAGATGCAAAGGGTCATGACACTTTGAAGAAGGAAAGAAGATGGGAGATGTACTCTACCAAGTGTCAAGAGTTCATATGGAGCTATGACAGTCGGTGAGGCATAAGGAGAGACTCTTGTGGGCCAATGGCAGAGAAGAGAGAACAGAACAGACTCTGCTCATGTGGCCCCTGGGTAAGAGCAGAGGGGAAAAGGATGGTTAACCCAGATGAGTACAGTACAAACTGGGGAAGAGGGGAGAGCTGCCTAAGTCAAGCACAACTGAAATGGGCTGTAAAACCATGGCAGGCACGTGACAAAGAGAGTGTAGCAATACAAGTGTGGTGATTGGGGAGTGGGGTATTGGGGTATGGGCGGAGGTAAAAAGGACAGAGAGGGGATAAATGGTGATGGAAAACAAACAAACAAATAACAAATAAATAAATAAATCTATATAGATAAAAACCCAGTGGCCATAACGCCGTAATGACCAAAGACTGGCACGGGTGGGCAGGGCCGCATGATTTCGTGCGCTGGGCTTCTAGTAAATAAATAAATAAATAGAAAGAAAGTGAAGCAACACAGGCACCAAACTACAGACAGGGTCAATCTGGAGGAATAACCCAGAGGGTGAGGAAGACATCTCCAAGGCACTTAATATCACAGAAACAACTAAATAAAGCAACTGCTCACCGATGGGCTGATATAATAACATGTGGTTTAAAGTCAAGCTTAAATAAAGTTAAAAAATAAAATTAGTTCTGTGACCATTAAAAAATAATAATAGAGTTTGCAGAGCAATTGAGGGAAATTAAGACACCCCCTCAAGAAAACACAACCAACTTAAAAAATATCCTATATAATAAAAGGGTAATATGCAAATCGACTGAACGGCAGAATGACTGGTTGCTATGACATGCACTGACCACCAGGGGGCAGACACTCAATGCAGGAGCTGCTCCCTGTGGGTCAGTCCACTCCCACAGGGGGAGTGCCTCTCAGCTACAAGCCAGGCTCATGGCTGGCGAATGCGGCAGCCCGAAGGACAGCGGAGTCCTGAGGGCTCTGGACTGCAAAAGGGCGCAGTCTGGGCTGAGGACCCCCTCCTCCCCCTCTCCCTCCAGGTGCACAAATGTCATGCACCGGGCCTCTAGTTAGATATAACAATAAACCAAAAAAATGACTAAAAATTAAATAACTCGTATAGAAGAAAGGTTTGAGACGAAAGAAAGTAAAGTGAAAAAGAGAAGATTTATTAGGGACAGATAAAGCTGTGAAGGCTAAAGTTGCACCAATGGAAGAATAGTTTTGTCCCAAAATTAAATAAGTATACATTTTTGAAGATAGTAGAGAAGAAACTTTCACTGAAGTAAAGGTAGAGTTGACTCTGCCACCTTAAGAACACGAGAACTATGGTTGAAGATGGTGTGCATGGAATTCACCAGTAACTTTCAGCATCACTTCTATTTATTCATAATAACCAGAGTATATTTATCTTATAAAATCAATATTATAATAAGTCTTCAAATTTCAAGCTTTACAAGTAGAAGTCACCATAAACAAAATTAAAGAAAAGGAAAGTAAATTTATATCTTCCAGAATATTTAACAAACCCTCCTTTATCATCAAAGAAAAAACAATCACTTCAACTAATAGCACTGGCAATAAATAAGCCAGCAACTCACCTAAGAGGCAATTTAAATAACCAATAGACACAAAACACCTCCACCTCCCATGTAATCAGAAAATGCAAATTAACTAAATGAATCTGTGAAAATGGATGTTGGGAGATGATTCATCTCATTTGCTATTGCCAGCAGAATATATTGGTTCAGTTCCTTAGAAAGGCAGCTTGGCAGAATATGTAAATAAGTAAGTATTAGTATTCGTTGCCTCAACAATTTGATTTTTTGGTTACTGACACAAAACAAATTCATATATCTATAATAATAAAAGGGTAATATGCTAATTAGATGAGACATCATTCTGGATATCATTCCAGATGTCCTTCTGGACAAAGCCAGGGCCGGAGGGAAGCCTGGGTCCCAGGTTTCAGAGGGAAGCCAGTGCCAGCAGCCATGGGAAGGAAGGCCTACTCTTGCATGAATTTTGTGCATCGGGCCTCTAGTGTATATACATGCAAAAAAGAGAAATACATAATTGTTGTTATCACCGCTTGTTGAAATGACATAAGTATCTGTCAATGGAAGAGAATGGTTTAAAAATTATGGCATATTACTGTGGAAAACAGTATGGAGTTTCCTCAAAAAATTAAAAATGGGACTCCCATTTGACCCAGTAATCCCACTTCTTAGGAATATATCTCAAGAAATAAGAAACACCAATCAGAAAGGACATATGCACCCTTTTGTTCTTAGCAGCACAATTTGCAATAGCTAAGATTTGGAAACAGCCTAAGTGCCCATCAGCAGATAAGTGGATTAAAAAACTGTGGTACATCTATACAATGGAATACTATGCTTCTGTAAAAAAGAAAGAATTCTTATTATTCACAATAGCATGGATGGACATAGAGAGCATTATGCTAAGCGAAATAAGCCAGTTGGAGAAAGATAAATATCACATGCTTTCACTCATATGTGGAAATAATGAACAAAATAAATCTATGAACAAAAAACAGATCCAGAGACAGAGAAGCATTGAACAGACTTTCAAACTTCAGAGGCAAGGCAGGGGAGGGAGGTGGGGCATAAGAGATCAACTAAAGGACTTGTATGTATGCATATGAGCAAAACCAATGGACACAGACACTAGGGGGGTGAGGACATGTGTGTGTGGGCTTGGGGGTGGCTAGGGAGAGGTCAATGGGGGAAAAAGGAGACATATGTAATACTATATGTAATACTTTAAACAATAAAGAATTTTAAAAAATAAAACTTCTTTAAAAAAAATTAGGGCATATTGATTCCATGGAGTAGTATGCAGCTTTTAAAAAGAATGGAGGAGATCTGTATGTTCATTAATGTGAAAAAACTTCAATATTTTCACTATTAAAATAATTAACAATGCAAAATAGCATATACAATATAATCCTCTTTGTTAAAAAACAAAACACAAATTATGTATTTAGGAAAATCAGTTATATGTGTAAACGCAGAGAAAGAGACATGGAAGGCTGTGCCCACAACACTCAACAGGACCAGGACTGACAGCTTCAGGCAGGTGGCAAGTGAAGGGGACTTTCCCCTCTACACACTTGCATGTCATTTGAAATTTTATGAGCAAGAATGTAAAATGTAATCCTTTTCTATTAAAAAAGTTAAACATATTAAGTAATTACTAGAGAAAAAGATAGGATTTCTGGCCTTTGCCTTGTCAGAGGTATAACCCATTACAGAGTAGAAACTCAAAGTGCAGATGAAAATACTCAGCCTGCACTAGTCTTTCATGTCTTGGCCTTTTCTTTTTCTCTTACTCCCTTAGATCAAGATCCCTGGAGGGAGAGTCCAGAGCCCCAGCCAGAGATGGGACTAGGCCTGGCATTGACCTGTCCCTAGCTCAGGTATGAGACCAAGGCACCCAGAATTTTATATTTTCTAAATTACCCTCTTCGATAAAACCTAGGTGAAGGCAGAGGGGTCCCGAGGGAAAATAGAGAGTTCAGGGATCATGAGAAAATAACAAATTGCGTCAGAAAGGACAGCCGAGTCCAGGTGACCCACAGCTGAGGAGTAGCTGTTAAGACAAGAGTCCTGTGGGTTGTGGCAGCTGCACTCACACCAGCAGCTGTCCCTCTGCAGTTTAAAGATCTGATTCCCTCACTGGTATTCCTGCATTTCATTACATTGCACATGAGTGTTCTTGTAAAGCAGGATGAGGTCAAGGTTTACACGAGTGTCTAATGACACCAAAGCAGCAGCACAACCTGAGAGAAAGTTAAAGGGAGACAGAGACTGACCTGGTGCTGAGTTCGGTGCCCTCACTGGCCATCGTCTTGCCCTGGGCCCTTTCTGGGCCTGGAGCCCTCCTGTGTCCCCAGCCTGAATCTAGTGTGGCTGCTCAGCCCCGAGCAGGAAGTGTGTACAATCACCCGGGGAGAGCTCCTCCCAAATGGGGAAATTAAAAGTGAAACTAACTTTCTGAGTGTTTTCAGACATATCTCCCTCCTTCTGCAGCCCCGCAGTAGTTCTCAGCCATCAGGACATGTGGCAGCAGGAATGGAGGACAAAAAGAGACAGTCAGGACCAGGAGGCAAGGGGAGGAGGACCCAAGGGGAGGAGCAGGAGTCTTCTTGTTTGAGCAACGACTCCAAAAACAGAAAAATAGCCTAGCTACGGGACCTGGAAACCTGGAGAGCAGGAGAGGCAGTGACTGAAAAGGGACAGGGGGCAGAGAAAACACCCAGGGGACATGCTTCCTTAGCTTCACCAGGAGCAGCTTCCATTCAGACCACAGTAGTGGGCTGAGTCTCCAGCCTGGGAGACCCTCTGGGGACAGGGTTGTCCCTGAGAGGAGGCAGAGTCCCAGACCTGAGAATTCAGGGGCAGGAGGAAGCGGAGGCAACAGCATCAGCAGCTTCTGGTGCAGAGGATGAAGACCTGGGACCTCCCAGATGCAGAAATGGAGAGGAGGGGCACCTGGGATCCAAGTGGGAGCACTCAGGCCCCACACCGATGGCCCCTTCTGGGAAGTGGCCCATCAGTCAGCAGGACTCCTGCCCCCCCTGCCCTCCCTTCTTCCTGGGGAGGCACTGAGGCTGGGAGTTCTGTGAAGGTGAGTCTGCTCCTTGGTGGGTCTCCCTGGGCATCCTGCTGGAGGGGTCAGCGCTCTGTGCTCCTCTGAGCTCCAGTGCACAGGGATAGCGACCTGGGGTGTGGGGAATGTGTGTGGTTGATTGGAGCAGCCTTGGGCCTTGTGGATAAGCCCAGTTCTGGGGTTCAGATTGAGGAATTATTTTTTGACACACATCCAAACCATGTCCCCAGCTTTTATGAGGAAGAAAGCTGGTATTTTGCTCCCCATCTGCCTCATGTTTTTGCCTGTCAGTTGGTTTAGAATTCAGGTGGAAAGGCATGCATTTTTTGGGGGGGTGGGGTGGAAGGGGGTGGCACTCAATGGCAATATTTTAGTTTTTAGGGGCTGGGGTGCAGTAGAACTTAGTAGAACCTTTGTGACTGGGTTCAGTGTGGGTACAGCTGTGGACTCCTGAGTCTTCCTACAAAGCTGGTAAGAATCCAGATGGGTTGTTGGAGGGGAAATGTGATTGTCTCTATAGAGAAGGCAGTGAATCCTTAGAAAAGGGGTCTGGAAGAGACATCTGGGCAGAGGAAGAAGAGATTAAGAAGTGAGGTTAAGTTAAGGTGTGCAGAAGAGAAGGAGACTATAGGGGAGCACAGTAATCCTACCTAGGCCACATTCGGAAGGTCTAGGGCTATGCATGAGAAACACCCCTCTGCAGGCCAAAGAGGAAGGAGGCTGGATCAGGGCCCCATGGCCTGTCCCACCCCACAGTCGCCACCATCACCACAGCCCTTCATTTGGAACCCTGGGCTCCACCTCAGGGGAAGTTAGTGACCTGTATCCAGAACGGAACAAGGATAGATTTTCGTGGTACCCTGGTTACTGCTGGATAGCACCACACTCCCTGAAACCCCCTGAAACCACATAATGCCTCTTTCTCATGACCACCCAGCCTCAGACACACGGGGTGGACACAAACAAGGGAAGGAGCCTGTTGCTGCCATCACATTTCTCATTTTAGCATCTAAGAGTCCCCATTACCATCAGCTGGGTAGCCCTTTCCTCCCAGACTTGACTCCAACCACGCCTGCACTTCTCTCTATTGGTCGTGCATGGTATTACTGCCTCCTTAGAACTGCATCTGGTTGCCTGTTTAGAGAAACCAAAACTAACAATCCCTTATCTCTCAAGATTGTTAGACCACTGGTGGTCCACGAGGTCCGAAAGGGTCACCATGATTATAATGGATGAAGGGGGAACATGTTATCCCTGTTCTCTCAAGATTGTGTCTATCTAAACCCTCTAAATTAGCAATAGGAGCACCATTATTTCTATCTAAATAAAGGAGAAATGACTTACAGATTTGATTCTGAAATAATTTTGATATTTGGCAGTTCATGAGCACAAAAACCAGCTTATGACATGGACAGAGAAGTCTGGGTTTAAAATTGAGGAGGGTCCTGAAACTGTGGCCCCTCCTACCCCCTCAGAAACCCTCTGTTTCCCAGAGAGGTTCATTCTGTCCTGAAGCCCCACAGTGACCTTGCCTTTTTCACCTTCCTGGAGACAAAACTGCTCAAACCTGCTCCTCCTTGGCTTGAGACTGGCATTCCTAGGGTGCACACAAGGGAATCATTCTGACATCACTGCCAGGCATGTTGATTTTACTAGGTGGTGAGCTATGTTGAGCAATTAAAATTATTAAACAAGTTAAAAAATGAATGACATAGGGTGACTGATTAAGAGAAAATTTGAGATTTTAAGGAAGTTGTGGGGTATCATATTTGCCATGCCCCAAGCCCTGTCTCCCTGGGGGATTGTCTTCACCTTCCTCCACCATTAGGGTTCTCTGCCTCCTGGAGGATCGAAACCTTAGTGTTTTAGCCTCACCCAACTCTTATTGACTCAGATGCCCAACTGCGTGACTGAAAAAACAGGCTGATCTTTTACGGGGTTCACCACATTTAATCCCGGGAATCCTGGTGGAATCTTGCCGCCATCACTGGGACCAGGCATTTCCACATCAGACTTGCCTCATAAGAAAAATGCAAGGCTGTAGGTGTCAGTCAACTTTTGAGGTATGAAAACTTAAGGCTACTGAAAACTTGAATAATTTTACAGTAATCATTGACTCACAATGAGCATGTATTGTGCTTGCTTTATCTCATTTCTGTCCCTCTATCCATTTTCCTATTCATCCAATAACCGTCCTCAACTTTGAAACATTTTAAAGTTGCAGTCAATAATACACTTTCCCCCAGATACTTTAGTATACATATCATTAACTAGATTCAATATTTGTTTGTATTTCTTTTTCTTTTAGATAAAATTTACAATGAGATGTACAAATACTAGATATATCATTCTGTGGATTCTGATTAAAGTGTTCTCCTGTAAAATCCTAATTGTTATCAAGAGACAGAATAGAATATGACCATCACCCTAGAACTTAAACAGCTCTCCTCTGAGGAGGACACTTTACTATCCTGGGATAATTAAGAGGGAGATGCTCTCTATTTTATACTGGTCAGAAAATAAATTTGCCCTCTGACTTGGGGAGCTACATTAACTCTAGCTTCTAAAACTCTTTGCTACTCACACATCCTTGAAAAGATACTCTGGGGCATGTGAAATTCCATGGAGAATTGCGTCCCAACAAATTCACCTCACAAAGCACATTCTGGCTATTTCCCTGTGAGGACACCACTCCACCAGCCAAGATTAACCTGACCCCTGGAGTCTAGTAGTATATTCATTCAAATTGTTTCCTTCAGAATTTAACAAATGTCCTAAACCATAATTTCTTAGGTCTCCTATGACCACCGCTATGGTGCAAGTCACCATGGTTGCATGAGGGAGGCAAGTGAATGTCAGGCTTTCACACAGGAAATGCAATCCCAATGGCACACATGGTGATCCTGAAACAGAGGCATTTATAATTGTTCAGGTTCCTAAAGGGAATATATCAGCCATGAGTAGGGTTGGGTCCCTGATCACCTGTAACCTTAAAGTTTTCAGCTCTGTTCATTGTTGATGGGTTTTTGAAGGAGGTGGGGGCAAGAGAGTCCATCCAATCTGTTCTGTTTCTCCATGATGTCCAATCTGTTCTCTTTCTCCAAGATGTCTCCTGCAACCCTTCATCCAATGACTGAGAATCAGTGAGAGGACCATGTCCAGAAATGTTCTGCCTGGGAGATGCTGATGCTGGAAGCAGCCCCTGATTCATCACACCTTATGGTGAATGGCAATCTCAGCATCTACATATGTGGTGGGAGAGCTAGACAAGGGTGATTTCCTTCAGGACAGGCTTGAAAGACAAATATGGTTAATACTTTTCCACCTCCCACACCTTCTAGGTGTTTCCTCCTCAGGTGCCTGGGTCTTCTGATCTTCATTCACTACCAAAAATATGGAGGGGGTTGGGGGGGGGGAAGAAAAAATATATCGTGTACCATTCCATTGGCTGTAACCTCATCTCTTCAGCTTTCATTCCAATAATCTCATATTGTCACTCACATTTTTTTTTATCCAGAAGGGTCAGATACAAGCAGGGCAAAGGCATTTCCAAAAAATATAACCAAAATTATATCCAAAATCTCTAGGCACTCTGAAGAGTGGGGAAAGAACAATGCATCCTCACCCGCAATGGTCAGAACAGAATTCAGATTTTCACAATTGGTCTATATCAGTGATGGCGAACCTATGACACGCGTTTTAGAGGTGATACGCGAACTCATTTTTTTGGTTGACTTTTCTTTGTTAAATGGCATTTAAATATATAAAATAAATATCAAAAATATAAGTCTTTGTTTTACTATGGTTGCAAAGATAAAAAAATTTCTATATATGACACGGCACAGAGTTAAGTTAGGGTTTTTCAAAATGCTGACACGCCGAGCTCAAAAGGTTCACCATCACTGGTCTATATAATGCCATTAATTCTCCACCACTTTTGTCCTGATCACAATGCAGGAAGGAGCTGATCCCTTTCTGCCTAGATTGGGGAAAGATGCCTTCAGTGACAAAATACCCATAATAGAGAAGTGTGTGCACAGGAGGAGACAAGGTCATATAGTTAGATGATCAGAGCAGTGCGTGTAGCCTTTTATAAAGGGCACACCATTGTCAGACTGTAATGGTCCAGCCAGTCATGCAATTTGCAGATTGTTTCGAGCTTCCTCAGCTCTCTTTTAGCTTTGGAGAAAGTTGATGTGAGGGACAAATAAGGCAAAGTAGAGAACACGAATAGCAGGTAGACACTGTGAGGTGGCCCAGAAAAAGCGGTGTAGAGAACAAAGAGAACCAAACGGTTAAATGATGTTTGGAAAATTGGACAGGTACATGAAAAAAATAAA